GAGCAGCTTGGGCGCCTTGCCCTGCAGCAGGTCCAGAGCCTCGAGGTGAGAGTGGACGAACAACATTGTGCACTGCAAACTGGGATGTGCGTCGAGATGCCGTCCGATCTTCCACCACAAATCACTGTCGGGTCCAGCTGGGTTGCGATACCTCTGAGTGTACCAGCCGATGATCACGCTCTCGTTGTCAGTCGTGTAGACTACATGCCCCGCGCTGCACCGCAGGGCAAGGTATAATGAGAGAAGCTCACCTCGTGGAACTGTTTGCCGCACTTCTGGAAGTCCTCCCCACACTCCCAAGAACAGCTCCATGTTCTCTGACAGGTCGTGGTAGCAAGCAAGACCGCAGCCAACTCTCCGTAGCCGCGGGTCCTTGCTCTCTGGGCCGCCACTGGCGTCCCCGAAAACGTATAGTGGCTCCTCCTCCGTGCCTTCCCCGAAGCAGCCGTCGACGTACTCGCCTCCAGTAGTACTCCAGGACTCGTCACTCTGAGGGGACTCCACTGCCAACCATGCTGAAGGTATGAGGCCTCGCGTCCAGAAGCAGGCATCTGCCTCCCCCTGTGCATAGGCTTCCCCTACATACTTCTCGGTGAGACCGTAAATGTCGTGCTGACACTTGCCCTCACAGGCCCAAACGCGGTGAAAGGCTGTCTCTCGATGACCACGACATCGAAGGCAATCCAGTGACATCTCCTGTTTGGCTCGCTCCTGCCGTCTCATTCGTGGCCACGTAGCCCCGACAGCAATCGTCAGCATCAGGCCCGCGAGGCGACGACCTCCTGGTGCACCCTCGAGGTGCTGAAGGAGTCGTCGGTACGAGTGGTTGCAAGCTCCAGCTTCGAGCCCGGTACCTTCGTAATGCTGAGCTGCTCGTTGCCAGAGACCTGCAGACACAGTACGCTCATATTCTTCAAAGAACTCATTGGGCATGTCTATATTGTCGACACCTGTGAGCTGATCGACTCCGAACTGCCAACTGTGCTCGAGCCCGTCACCACAACTAGGTGCGATCCAACATGTAGGAGAAACAGGCCGCCATCCCGCCTGCAGCAGGTAGCAAATCACAGCTCCTTGGGGCCCTCGAATGTGCCTGGCACGCTGAGCCTGAGGGACTGCCGACAAATCACGAACCAAGGTAGGCCACGTGCGATTGATGCCGTCGCGGATGCTCGGCTGTCGTGTCCAGCAAGAAAGCCATAGCCGCAGGCACTCGCGGGGCATCTTACATGCTGGGTCGCGTCCTGCTGCCTTCAAGTCGATCAGGGTCGTCAGACATCTGCCCGGCATCTTGGGGCCGAGAGCGTTGCCTAGCTTCCTGCGACATTGAGTCATGGCATCCCCGAAAACGCCATGGAGCTGGTGCCCGTATGACCCAGCAGCTTGGGCACCCTGTTGCTCCAGCCTCGAGGTGAGGCCGTAGCGCCGAGTAGCTCGTACGTACTTGATCACACGCTTGTGCATGGCCGCGTGCTTAGCCTGCCGAGCGGTACTGCACGCACGGGCATGCCGAGATCCCCCCCCCCCAGGTCGGCCCCCAAATACGGCGCCTGGGGAACAGCACGAACCTGAAATCCGTGGGCACGCACTCGTCTGGCAATGATTTTGGCGTCATCCAGCTTCGCGCAGACGACCGCGCTCTTGGGAGAGATGGCCAGCCCCGCTCGCTTCATCGAGCGGCAGGTGTCGACAAGGCACCTCACTAGCTTGTTGCGCATCGTCTCCCGAGTGCTCTTGACTGACTGGCTGAGGTCATCCAGCCACAGCCGCTGCGCCATGCCCACGTGCACCGTCGTGAGCCGATGCATGATGTGGTACGTCGCACACTTGGCAAATCTAGTGCCTCCTCGGAGGCCTTGAACAACTGAACGAAGTGGAGCGAATGGCTCCGAATATGTACCAGATTGCCTCAAACACCTTGCCGTCATGCACTGCATCAACTCCAGCCCCAGCACCTCGGCTGGGAAGTCAAGCCGCATAGCCGCTCTGCCCACCATCAGCCACCCTATGGTGTCGTAGAACTGGCTGATATCGAGCAAGCCGTTGCCCAGCTGAACATGAAGCCGAGCTGCGAGCTCTTCATCGATAGCTCGCAAGAAAACCTCTCTCACTGCTGAATTTCCTCTGATGGCTGCGTCCCAATGAGCTTCGCATTCAGAGGTCCACTGCTTCACATATGGTTCCCGTGCCTGCGACCACACCCTTGACAGGTGTGGTAGCAGGCCTATAATTCTGTCTCATTTCACCTTCTTTGGAAGAAGAGTTCCGATGGTGAGCAAGACTTGGTGTGGCCAGGACTGCGTGGCCTCGCACACACTGAGTAAGGTCGACAGCTCCTGCAAGGCCTCATCGGGTAGGCGAAGCAAGTCGTTCGAGCTGAGGCGATCCACCCCCGTCGCCGCCGATGCCTTGATGGACTCCAAGGCTTCTCGCAAGTCGGTGGCTGTCAGCGGGGGCAAGGACTCGTACCTCACCCGTTCACGAATGTCATCAAACAACTGCTCTAAGCCCCCCATCTCGATGCTGGACCCGTTGGCTGATAAGAATGATGGTGCCCAAATCTTCTCCCACTCATGACTCTTGTGATCCAAGACGTCCTTTGGATGTAAAATCGGTTTGCCGTCAACTACAACTTCCTTAACCTCTGGCATCGGTTCCTTCAACTTTTTATGAAGAATGCCTAGCGCTGGTGCCGTCTCGGCCCATTCTCT